AAGAAAATCACAAATTCAAGCGAAAAAAAAAAAATTCATCTACTTCGAAAGACTACAAAAATTAGATCCGAAAAAAGCGCATTTCCCTTGCTGAGCATGAAAATCATAATCCACAAACAGTACTACAAAACACATTCTCAAATATATGGGACGAGAAAAACCAAAATTGGGGCTAAGTGCTGTGGCTTCTAAAAACATTCTTCCAAATGTAAAGGCGCTAAAATACTCATTCATGACTTTTGGCGGCCTGAAATCTGGTTCTGAATTTTTTGGGCATGGATTGGGAGTCATTGTAATAATTTCTAACAGCTGTATTGGCCAGTCCCAATTCTTTTAGCTAGAAGCATCTGCCGGAAAGAACGTACCACTGGCGAAAAAACCCTGTGGAGGAACTGTGCAAAAAACGCATCCTCGTACCGGCAGCCAGTACGCTTTCAAATGAAATCCTACTCTAGTTATATGGCAGCGGGCATAGATTTTACAGTGTCCAGGCATGATGAGGTATAAAACTTGGCATTTTCAGGCATCCCAAAATGACAATTCACATTTTATATGGCTAAGCTTGGGTGGTGCGAACCAGTGACAGTCGCCTGACCAGTGTAAGCAATAATGCAGGTAAAGGTTTGGGTTGATCATTAATAAGCACTCCTTTAAGTGAGCAGCATACATAAATGTCATTACGACTATGCAAGAAAGTAAACGATCAATCCAAGCGATAATCCAAAATGGAAGCGCAAAGATAATGGAGAGGATCTAAGCAATAATTAAGGGTATGCAAATATTAGGATTGAATGGTTTCGCTTATGAATCTGGGAGTATTCCAGTAACATCCCTAACATGGGGGGCTGCTTTCGATATTCAAATTACTGGAAAATCATAAAAGATCGCTTCGGCGATCAGTTCGAACCTTTCCAATCCAGAATTGCGTAGAAAATTTTCCATTTCAAGCTATTTGCGCTCGGAAAAAAACAAAACAAAAGTCGGCTAGAACTCTCCAATCCAGCCAGAATTTTATATGATTTCGCATAAAAAACATTCCATTTCAAACCACTTGTCCCCGGGAAAAAAACCAAAAACAAAGTTTTTACGAAGTTGGGGGAATCTTGTTCGGTACAGCTTCTTCATCATCCTCCGAATCTTCATAATAAATCTTCCTTTTCATAGCTTCGTGGCTTCTTCTGTAGTCCACAAACTGCATCAATGTATCAAAAAGCTCTGCAGCAAAATATTCCGATCCCTGAAAATAATGGAGTTTCAACAAAAAAAAAAAAAAAAAGAGGATTATTAGTCAGGAAATCGATCTTAAGAATTCCAAAATGTGTCTGTCATGTTTCCCAGTAAAATTAAGCATAATTTGAAATTCTGGCCGGAATTTGATTAAGAAAACCACTGCTCGGACGTACCGTTGCCAGAAAAAGTACTGGGACTTCTGATTCTGGCACAGTGGCCGAAAATTTAACACGCTTGTTCGAAACTTTCTCGACAATCATGTCCGGAAATATTTGCGAATTAATCAGTACGCGCTGATTGCCCACTGCTCGTCCAACTGAAAAAAATTTGTGTTGTACTAATAAAAACAGTCTATCGAAGAGTCAAGTGAAACACTGGATCACTGTAACACAAAGAGATGCTCTCTTCCTCTCTGGCGGGGTTTTTTTTTTTTATTTTTCTCGTATCATCTATTTATTGCGGCCCTACGTTTTATGAGCCCCAATCCAAACTTGTTTTTACTTCCTTTATTTCTCAGTGAATTAGACCCCTATCTGTTCTGAAATATCTCGTCTGTTTCGAAATACTTTTCTAAAACATAAGCGGATTCATGAGGAA